CAACAACAAAAACATGCAGCTGGATTAAATCCATGGGTTTTCCGCTACACACTGTTGCAGCGCAACTTAACAGAAGCGTAACCGGAGGAGGAGGAAGCGGGAGAGAGGTCCCTTTTCCCTCTTCCATACCTCCCCTCCCCCTCCTTATAAAAATATTATAATAAATAATGAATCTATATATATATATATATATATATAGTATATATATATAAGTATATATTATATATATATATATATATTATATATATATATATATATATATATATACTATATATATATATATATACTATATATATATAACGGAGCATGGTGGCGGGAGGCCGAAGGCGTGGGTATAAAACTGAGAAGAAAAAAACCCTTAGTGAAAAACAGCAACAACGGACGATTTAATCTTCGACGTTTCGGCCGGACTCCGGCCGAAACGTCGAAGATTAAATCGTCCGTTGTTGCTGTTTTTCACTAAGGGTTTTTTTCTTCTCAGTTTTATATATATATATATATATATATATATATATATATATATATATATATATATATATATATATATATATATATATATATAATGTACGCAGGAGTACGAGGTCCACATTTGTACATAGATATTTCTACCTCAAATTCTTTAGCACTGTATATCGCAAAATCAGAATACCTCAAGAGCTGCGATCTAATTTCGCATTGCAGAGATTTGTAGACGTCTAATTTTTTTTATCTGTTCCCAGTCATGGGTTTTTCATTGTGGACCCTTCATATATATGTAAGCACTTGTTCTCTGCGAGGCTTGTGAGCTTAACTGCTCAACGAATGTTAAACTACGGCCACCCATACCTTGAGTGCGATAATGAACTTGCTGGACTTTTCACGTGCCAGGTAGACTTTGCCGAACTTTCCCTTTCCTAACGGTCGCCCAATCTCAAAATCTTTGAGCGCCCATTCCGTCGTAAACCTGCAACAATTGTGAATGACACCAACATTTAAAGAAAGACCCTTCGAATATCATAGTAATGCCCCCCCCGCCCCCCCCCCAGTCCAACCCACTCAGTAAAAAAAGAAATACGCTGTCGACGAAACGTTGCAAAAGCACCTGTCCACGAAACATCACCGTGTCGACGAAACGTGTTTCCATGAATCGTGCTTCGACAAAACGATAGCGACCCGTGGCAAACACGTAAAAGTTCAGTTAGCAGACGAATGTGCAGCTATACTTGCTTTTTGGGGACGGCGCCCGGCGGAAGGCTTCTTGGCGGGCTGGGTGGAGGGCTTCCCGACGAAGAAAGACTTCTTGACGTGCTGGGCGGAGGGTTTATTGGCGGGATGGGGGGGACGTTCTCCTCGGAAGCCATGTGTGATAAGGATGCCCGAAGCGTCTCTCCAACCCAAGCTGCACGACTGCAATGGCTGCACTACAACGGACAGAGCGAGAGCCGAGCAGGAATCTCGAGAATGATACGTTCGGTGCTGTAGACACGTGAACAACACGCTCGAACGCACGCGGCGCGCGCGGCATGAACTGGCTTGAACGAGTTGAACTGGAGCCACTAAATAAGCTACGCTTCAGAGTAACGACACCTGTCCATCTTGGTGCTTCAAATTACGGTTGCTAGTTATCCGAAGCTTTCTCTGAACTCACAGGAAACCCTTTTTTGTCCTTTACAAATGTTTAAACAGGTCGCGACAGAACAAAGCAATATTACATGAGCTTCCTGACACCGAATCTAATATAAAGAAAGTCGCACTTTTGAATCATGACGATCGGCCGTTGCGTCTGCTCTGTACTAAGCACCAAGATGGCGGCGCCCACAACAATATGGGTGCCGATACTCTGACGAAATAATCATTGGAGAAGGGGAACAAGAGGGACAAAGGACAAACACAAATCTCCAAACACAGAGGTTTCGGGTTCGATACCCGGACCAGGCGGATTTTTTCGGTCGCGCACCAGTCACCTACCTGTGTTTGGAGATTTGTTGGGAGCAAAGAAAGGGGCAGCGTGCTTTTGCTTTGCCTTACCTCGCTTAAATCACAAAGCATGAGCGGTGATCTCACCTCATTGTTTAGATCCTCTTGGTTGTTCCTAAGCCTAGAGGGACGCAGTAATCGTTGACATGGCTACGTCTCGCAAAGTTTAGTAAATTACGACGGGTTGGAGCTGAGCTAGTCGGTTCATATTTTTGGATGGTATCAGCTGAGCAAATATAAAAATACACGTTCAAGCGCTGGACTATCAACTGTATTGAAGACTCCTTCTTCATCCTCCACTACTGGCCATATTTACAACCTAGATGAAAGCCTTCTTCTTGTTCGATAGAGCCAAAACAATCCTAGTGTATTCTGTTGACTCGATAGGCAGGACGCAGAAGCAGCCGGAGCCAAAGGTAGGAAAGCTAAACGAAGTTTTGCTAAATAATTCGAACATCAAGAACATACTTGTGATAAAACAGAAGTTCGGGCGAGTTGGTAGTTCATGACGCACGAGGACACAGCGCACCCGTAACAAACACTAGGACAACGTTCACAGTCACACCAAAAGAAAGGGACACTTACACAGCGCTGACTTCAACTCTTTGTATATTCCCGCCTTTTCTCTTCTTTCACGTCTAATGCATAACCTAGGCCTCATCTTTTTCTTTCTTTGCTGAAGGTTAACTGTAAAAGTTTTAAGCCAGAAATTGAAAATTAAAAATTAAATGAAAAAATTAAATGAAAAATTAAAATTGAAATTACTGTAGATCAATGATGCAAAGGTAAGTAATCCAGCTCTTTTTGTGACAGCGCTATAGATGGATTACTAATACACCTGCCGTTTTGCCTGGCAATGTTCTCCGCTTCTATTATTTCCCTTGTGAGCTGGTCTCGGCTCCTTGCCAACACCACACACTTGTCAAGTTCCGCTGTGCACCCACAGTCCCGAATGTGTATGCCAACATGTCCAGAGTTCTTGTTGATGGTGGACAAGTTGTGTTCTCTAAGGCGGTGGTTTAAACACCTACCCGTCTGTCCGATATATGTTCTTCCACAGGACAGGGGGAAGGAGTAGACCACATTTTCAGTGCATCGAACGAACTTATTTCTGTGATTCGTTGTGCAGGACGTCGGTGTTCTTGAAGGAGTGTTTACCCTCTTGCACAGGCTGTAGAGCTTGTTCGGAGCGGAGAAAATAACGTCCGTGCCTACTTTGTTTGCTATTTTCTTGAGGCCGTGAGAAAAATGATGGAGATATGGCACAATCACTGGTCTTTTTGCCCTGTCCCGATGACTTTTCTTAAATCGCTCATCATGCTTAAATTCTCTGAAAAGTCCTTCCGCCACTGATGTTAACAAGGATGGTGGATATCCAGCGCGTTTTAATCTCGACACTTGCCCATCAAAGCTCCTTTGGATGGAATGGAAGCATGACTTCGTAAGAGAGCTTTTAAGGCACAACCGCGCTATGCCTCTCTTTACTAGTTTTGAATGCGCTGAGTTGAATGGCAGAAGTGGCTTCTTTCCCCTTGGCTCGTAAGTCCAGCACGTATGGTACGGTGACGTACAAAGACGAAGATCTAAGAATCTCAAACTTCTTTCACTTGGAAGTTCGTGGGTAATCTCCAATGGGTTCATGCACCTTTTGAAACTGTTGAGAATGTCTGGTACCAAGGCTGTCAGATTTTGGTCATCGGTGGCGAGGACAATTAAATAATCGTCGACATATCTGAATACTTTTTTAACTTTTGACCCGTCGAGAGTTTGGTTTAAATTCCTGTCAAGGTGTGCAAGATACAGGTCACTGAGGATAGGTGCTATGCACGAACCAATACACACCCCTCTCTTCTGTAGATACGTGTGTCCATCCCAGGTGGCGAAGGTAGATTTTAGATAGATGTCAATTAAGTTTAAGAATTTGCTTTGGGATAGGCCTGCCGCATTCTGAAAGGCGGTAATGCCATATGTGTCTATGCAGTCCTCGATACACCTTAGGAGATGGGGTTGGGGCAAGGAATAATAGAGATCCTTAATATCGATGGAGAATGCTCTTAGATCTAGGTCGCTATTTTGATCGAAGAAGCTGATGACGTCATAAGAGCTATGAATCAAGTAAGGATCATCGATGACTAGCAGCTTCAGTCTTTCTTGCCAATATACACCTACCGACTTCTGCCAAGTTTCCCTTTCTGAAATTATTACTCTAAGAGGGCATTCCGGTTTATGAGTTTTGGCGCTGAAGAATAATTGAAGGCTCAAGTTTTTGCTGCGTTCAATTCTGGAGCAAAGTTGATTCAAATTCTGTGACTGACAAAACGTTTTTGCTACCCGTTTCACTTTTTCCAGGGAGATCTCGTCGTGGCTGCTGAAGACAGATTCGACCGCTGTTAAAGCTTTTTCTCCGAACGTCTCCTTGTGCATGAGCACAAAACCGCCTTCTTTGTCAGCTGGCATAAGTGTCAGTGAGTGTTCTTTGAGGTATGCTTCTACTCTCTTGATAGGCAGAGGTGTAGCTGAAGGCTTGTACCGAACGAGCATGTCCACTCCCTCGGAGGTGCATCGATCTATCTCGGTCTCTGGAGCTCGTCGCGACACTTGCCTAATGATGGAGAGTAGCTCCGGTGCCGTCTTCTTGGGTTCCACTGCAAACTTGGGGCCCAAGCTTAGAACGTGCCTCACAGAACTTGGTATATCAATGTCCCCTAACGTGTGTACTGGGTTACTTGAAGCCGTTTCCTTCTTGGGTCGGGTGGTCCGGAGATGCCTTAACGTGAGTGTCCAAAGATGCTCAGTCGTACATTCCGTTAAAGAGGCGTAAGTTTGCCATATTCTTCTGCTGGAAGAAAGAGTGGTATCCTCATGCAGTAGTGAGAACAGGCTATTTCGATAGTGCCGTGCCTGCCTATGCCACTCGGCCTGGAGTATTTTACAAATTCTCTTCCCGTGCCCTACGGATGGTAGGAAGCCTCCGAAGAGGGCCATGACCTCAGTGGGCAACATCTTTACTCGTATGCAGTACCCAAAGGATCTTGCTTGGCAGACACATATGGCGATTAAGGTGACAAGGCCGTTACGGTCCAAGGAATGATGGCTAAAAGGGCCCGATGTACTAGAAATGAAGCTTGTTAAAACAGAAGTTCGGGCGAGTTGGTAGTTCATGACGCACGAGGACACAGCGCACCCGTAACAAACACTAGGACAACGTTCACAGTCACACCAAAAGAAAGGGACACTTACACAGCGCTGACTTCAACTCTTTGTATATTCCCGCCTTTTCTCTTCTTTCACGTCTAATGCATAACCTAGGCCTCATCTTTTTCTCCGAACAACAAAAAGAAAGGGACACTTACACAGCGCTGACTTCAACTCTTTGTATATTCCCGCCTTTTCTCTTCTTTCACGTCTAATGCATAACCTAGGCCTCATCTTTTTCTCCGAACAAGCTCTACAGCCTGTGCAAGAGGGTAAACACTCCTTCAAGAACACCGACGTCCTGCACAACGAATCACAGAAATAAGTTCGTTCGATGCACTGAAAATGTGGTCTACTCCTTCCCCCTGTCCTGTGGAAGAACATATATCGGACAGACGGGTAGGTGTTTAAACCACCGCCTTAGAGAACACAACTTGTCCACCATCAACAAGAACTCTGGACGTGTTGGCATACACATTCGGGACTGTGGGTGCACAGCGGAACTTGACAAGTGTGTGGTGTTGGCAAGGAGCCGAGACCAGCTCACAAGGGAAATAATAGAAGCGGAGAACATTGCCAGGCAAAACGGCAGGTGTATTAGTAATCCATCTATAGCGCTGTCACAAAAAGAGCTGGATTATACTTAGCTTTGCATCATTGATCTACAGTAATTTCAATTTTAATTTTTCATTTAATTTTTTCATTTAATTTTTAATTTTCAATTTCTGGCTTAAAACTTTTACAGTTAACCTTCAGCAAAGAAAGAAAAAGATGAAGCCTAGGTTATGCATTAGACGTGAAAGAAGAGAAAAGGCGGGAATATACAAAGAGTTGAAGTCAGCGCTGTGTAAGTGTCCCTTTCTTTTGGTGTGACTGTGAACGTTGTCCTAGTGTTTGTTACGGGTGCGCTGTGTCCTCGTGCGTCATGAACTACCAACTCGCCCGAACTTCTGTTTTAACAAGCTTCATTTCTAGTACATCGGGCCCTTTTAGCCATCATTCCTTGGACCGTAACGGCCTTGTCACCTTAATCGCCATATGTGTCTGCCAAGCAAGATCCTTTGGGTACTGCATACGAGTAAAGATGTTGCCCCCTGAGGTCATGGCCCTCTTCGGAGGCTTCCTACCATCCGTAGGGCACGGGAAGAGAATTTGTAAAATACTCCAGGCCGAGTGGCATAGGCAGGCACGGCACTATCGAAATAGCCTGTTCTCACTACTGCATGAGGATACCACTCTTTCTTCCAGCAGACGAATATGGCAAACTTACGCCTCTTCAACGGAATGTACGACTGAGCATCTTTGGACACTCACGTTAAGGCATCTCCGGACCACCCGACCCAAGAAAGAAACGGCTTCAAGTAACCCAGTACACACGTTAGGGGACATTGATATACCAAGTTCTGTGAGGCACGTTCTAAGCTTGGGCCCCAAGTTTGCAGTGGAACCCAAGAAGACGGCACCGGAGCTACTCTCCATCATTAGGCAAGTGTCGCGACGAGCTCCAGAGACCGAGATAGATC